TTTAAAAATACTTAAAATGATCAAATAAATTCAATTTACTGAAAATATTCTTTATAAAATTAATCAATATATATGAAATATTTTATTCAAGTTTTCCAATAGGAGTGAATTATATTGCAAAAGTGTTTAACCATAATCAAATGTGGTGAAGAAAGCTGATGGTGCCCAACTATCACTTTAAAATATCACTTTTTCATTTTGAAGATAAAATAACATTAAATTCCCGATATTTGCCTTATATATAACTTTACTTGTATAAAATGAGGTCCAAATATAGTTTGGCAACCGAAAAACTATTTGTATGGGTGTGAATCATTATTATTTGTTTGTATAAACAGCAATCAAATTAGGGAGACCATAACATAGTAGATTTTTTCTAACACAGTAGATTTTAATAAACAATTACAACACAGTATTTTCTGAATCAGTGCCAATATATGAAAACCATTATCCCATAACATGCACTCATAAAATCCAAGCAAAGAATCTTCACTGCAATCCTGTGACTCTTAAGGTTGTGAATTGGGTTCAAATATTATGTTCTGTCTTTGAGATGTGTGTTTATGTGTTTGCGTATGTGCGCGCATGTGTGTGTAGTGCATAAACATCATGATACATTGGAGATATTTTGGGTGAATAGAAATTGCCTGTATTCCCATGGGTGTAAAAGTAGAACCATATACATATTCTAATTTATAAGGGTATTAGTTCCATTAGCTCACACTAGTATCTGTAAAGGGGTTACTCTTGAATAGACTTTGCACAATTGGTGTAGATTTTCTAAATAAAGCCAGAATCATATTATCCCCTATATGCTTTGAAATGCTTTAACAATACACCTATATTCAATTGTTACCAACTTCCATTTCGCTGTGCTCAGGAGACTATGAAAAGGGTAGATTGATTACTGAGGGACTGGTTGACAATTCATTCTATTGCCAGTCACCTTCTATAAAGGAAGACATTTGTTCACATACTCCATAGAGCTTTATGTTTCCATTTGGGGAGAAAATACAGGCATGACTATTTCTTCCAAAAAGATAATTTTGAGGTTGGAAGGAAGGGATCAGTGTTTAAGGCACATATCGATGCTGTTTAAAAAAATACTTTCAGTGTATATTATAGTGAGCCTTATAGAATATATGGTTTATTATAGCTAATTAATCGATTACATTGTCTTGGAATCATCCAAACATTCTGAGCCTTATAGAATACACGGTTTATTATAGCTAATTAATTGATTACATTGCCTTGGAATCATCCAAACATTCAAGAGAGATAGTTTGAAGGTCTTCCTTCCTCTGACGAATTGCCAAATTACTGTCCTTACATCTCACACATGACTGAAGAACCAAGCCACCATGTTCTGAAAATTGATCACGAAATTCTGAAGTCATAAAATAATATACAATTGGATCAAGACAACAGTTGAGATTTGCAAGGCAGAGAGAAATTATGTGGAAACATAGAGTGCTCTTAATAAATGAACAATTGGAAAATACATTCTGTTTCACCATCATAAAGAAGGGGAAATTGATATGATAAGGGGTGAAACATACAATGAACACGACTGCACACATCAGGACCATCCACAAAGCCCTTTTTCTCTCTTTAGTATTCTCTGAGGGGACTTGGAATTCCTGTAAAGATTTTCTTGTTTTCCATGTGCAATAGGTGATAATTACAACAGGCAACACAAACCCTCCCATTTCAGCTACAGTTATCAAGCCTATGGAGAAAGCCATGCTAATGGGTTGAAGCCCTAAATCAGCAAAACAGGACTCAGTGTTGTTGGCTAAGTCTTGATTTCTCAGGATGGGAAGTGGCAAACAGGCGGTCCCCACAATGACCCAGATGACAACACTGATGCCCGCCTCATACCTACGCTTCCAGTTTCTGGCTTTGAAGGGCTTGAGGAGAAAGAAACATCTCTGAAGGCTGATGCACGTCAGGAAACAGATGCTGGCATACATGTTGAGATACTTCAGGTAGAAGCACAGCAGGCAAAGGACTCTCTGGAAAGGCCAGTGGTGGCTGATGTAATAATAAATCCGGAGGGGTAAGGAGAGCACATGAGCAAGGTCAGCCACGGAGAGATTGATCATGAAGATGATGGCTTTATTTTTCTTGTTGATGAAGCGGCACAGAACCCACAAGGCTACACTGTTAGCCAGGAGACCAGGGATGAATATGAGAATATAGGTGGTTGCATAGAGTGAGTACTGAAATGGCATCTGAAGATCCGTGCACTTGGTTCTTGAATTGCTTGTGCTGTTACTTCCCATTCTGATGATTTATGTTCCTTCCTTAAGGGAAGCATTAGAGTGATGATTTCTGCAGAAAACAGAGTTAAAAATAGAATCAAGGCATGTCTGTCCAATGTCTGAGTACACAAATATATTTTGTTTTCTACCAAATAAATGATCAAGTGTAAATCACAAATTAAATTGATTTTTCAAACGGAACCCTTGTGTTGTCGTGGTTCAGTGTTGGGCTGCTAACCGTTCAAAACCGCCAACCACTCAGGGAGAAAGATGTGGTTTTCTACTCCCAAAATGAGTGACAGTCTCAGAAATGTACAGGGTTGCTCTACTCCATCCTCTGAGGTCACTATTAATTAGAATTGACGCAATTGCAGGGAGCTTGGTGCATGGTTTCTAATTAAACTGAAATAACAAAGGGATGATATTTTTAGGAATCTAAAAGGTAACTATGTTAGAATTAGTCTGCCAGAATCTTTCCCTTTATAAGTGAGAAAGAGTAGTTGAACTTGCGAAGCTAACCAACAGGGAAGATCTCATTGCAAAATTGCCCCCAGGACATACTTTCCAACACTCTTAATGATTCCACTGGTTAATTTTACAGATTTCCCTATCTGGATTTTCAAATTGAAATCTAGCTGAGTACCCTATCATCACCCCCCCCCAAAAAAAAAACACCTCACTATCATTTAATCCATACTGACTGATAGTGACTCTATAGGACAGAGTAGAACTGACCCGTTAGTTGTCCCAAACTGTTCATCTTTACTGGTGTAGAAAACCTCACCTTTCTCCCTCAGGCTTGTCAATTTGAACTGCCAACCTTGCAGTTAGTAACCCAATAAGTATAGGAAAAAAATAGATTCGTTTTCAACTGCATCCTTATCAGGAATTAGGTGATTGTTGAGATGAATTGATGTAATCTTTGAAGTGAAGCATATGATAGGAACTTGGGTATGGGTTGGCAGGTCATCAGACCTTGGAGTAATAAGGACTTCAAAAAGTTATTGCAGCCCAAATAACCTTTGCCTCTTTCATAATTAGACCCACTTAGGTGCCTTGGAAGGAATTCTGGTGTTACAATGGTTAAGCACTGAACTGCTAATCAAAAAGTCGGAAGTCTGTGCCCAACAGCAGCTCTGCTGGAGAAAACACATGGTGTTCTACTTCCATAAAGATTACAGCCTAAAAAACCACTATGAATGCCTCTACTCTGTCATACAGTGTTGCTATCAGTTGAAAGAAACTTGACAGCAGCTACCAACAATAACAATATATGTCATGGTACTGCCCATAGCTTCTGTTCCTTTAAAGTTCTGACATTATAGTAGCTTCGGCTCTCAACAAAAGTTGTTCTAGTTCTCTTTCTAGCTCTCAGGGCAAGTCCGGAAGAATGTGGATTGATGTGAATGGTTACAGTTTTGCCAATATTAATTGTTTGATAATTCTTCTTCCTTGTGACCTAAAATGTGTGTCCCTGTCATTTCAACCTTGTTCTGTCTGCCAAAATAAAATGAAATCCGTCTACCCCCTGCTACACAGAAAAGCTCTTCATTATGTGAAAGCAACAATCCTATCATCTCTCAAAACTTCACTTACCCAAATTAAACATTAATTCATAACATGACATGGGTCTTGTTCTTGATTTTCTTTTGGTTCAGACCATTATTGTTTTTTGCCAAAAGCTACTACAATACAATTTATTTTACTCTTGAATGCAACAGCTTGACAATTTAAATGTTTCATTATTATGATGTTTTAAAAGATAAGTTAAATTATATTTCCTTTGTACATTAGATTACTTGAAAGTGCAGTTCGTTTATTTACATTGTGAGGAATTAAAAGGAAAATTAAAAATCCCTAAACCTCCTGCAAAAGTTAATGTATGTTTCTTCAATAATTCATGATATATGATTTGAGAAAGCAATACAGAGTAAACAACAACCAATTATTAAATGAAAAAATGCAGGCAACCCACTCACAACTCATACAATATCAAATAACCTATCTGAGCAGTGACTGTAATGGGCTTTCAGATAGATTATATTTATTGAACTAAAAGTCAAACTGCCAGTTCATTCATTCAAATAGGTCATTTAAATGTGTCTTTTTCTTTTTCCTTTATTTCCCACTGCGTTCAAAGTTTTGCTGAATCACTTAGTTGGTATAGCAAAAGCTAAATAAATCCAAACTATCTTTGTGTGTGTGTTTCATCTTTCTATTCACAGCACTAACTGAAGGAAATGATCGGATGTTGCTTACACTAAACCAAAATTAAAATCCATAAAAACATGAACCGGAACTATTCTTGAAATAGAATTAAGGGAACAGTTGATGTAGATGAAGATTTTCCTGATCGTCTTTCGTTTTATTATAAGAATAATCAACACGTATTCGGTGCCTATTTTGCATTAGGGCTATGTTAAATGCTTTCTTAGTTAAGAGCTCAATTAATTCCTAACAAGAACTCTCTGTGGCAACTCTATTATTACTATTTTACAGAGATGAAGGGACTGAGATCCCAAGAAAGACAAGGCTCACTTGCTCCAGGAAGTTTTCCCTAATTACTCTAAACCACAAGTCAAATTTCTGGGCTCAGAGTACCCATAGGTCTGATGGTTTTCTTTGGTGAGAAGTCACTAAACAAATGCAGAATCCTGTAGTTATCTTCAGTCCTATGGGGGTCTAGTTCATTCTCCTAAGCAAATAGTAGTCTCCTACAGATCAAAAATTCATTTGCTTACAGTATTTCGCTTTCTTCCCCATAGCAAATTGTCTAGAAATATGTCTTGGTTAAGTATTTGTTGAGTGAATGAATGATGAATGCATGAATATAGAGAAGAAGACATCCACTGAGAGGAAGGGAATGAATGTATAGGAAATTATAATTTAACTATGATGTTTGACCAGACACCCAGGTGTCAGAAGTACACCAATGTTCAAATAGCTTTGGACGTTGAACTAGTTGCCATGGAGCAGACTCCAATTCATGATGAGTCCATCTGCTTCAGAGTAGAGCTGTATGTGGTCTACAATGGCTGACTTTCAAAAGTAGACCACCGGGTTTTTTGTCTGAGGTCCCTCTTTCAATTGGCAGCCAAGCAAGTCAATCATCTGCATCCTCCAATGATTCCTTGTAACATTAAACATGCAATTTGTTTTAAAGCCCCATTAAAGAAGAAGTCATATTAAAAGGGAGAAATGCTAGCCACACCCTCTGTAACATCCGAAGTCAAATCCTTTAATGGGCATTTTAGGGAGTTTGCATTATTCTGCTGAAAGATTTTACTTTTTCGACCTTTCTATTTCCTCATATACATAGGTAATTCAAAAAACACTACTGACAGGGTTCCAGTTCATACATGTATAAGTTCATAGCAAACAAAATATGTTTACACATGTCTCTGTGATCAATGAATAGCTGCAGACAAGTTTTCTCAGTAATAGATTTATCTTACTATCCTTATCAGTCCTGGTGTCGTAATGAGTTCTGAGTTGGGCTGCTAACAGAAGTGTGCACAGTTCAAAACCACCAATAGCTCCCAGAAATAAAGATTAGGCTTTTTATTCCTGTAAAGATTTCCAGCCTCAGAAATCCACAGGGGCAATTCTAATCTATACTAGGAGTCAGACTCAATTTGAAGGCAGTGGATTATTTGTTTGATTTTTTAAATCTCCTCCTTAGGATGCCTTTTTAAAAAAAAGATCTTTTGGCACCATTGAAGGAAGTGGGAATGATTTAGAGATCAGAGCTAATATTAAATTTGAAACAAAACTCAAGTGGACATCTTCCTAAACTATTGCAACTTCAAAAAAAGTTTATGGGAATACTGTCTTGCATAAAATTACAGTTTTGGGGCACATCATGTATTTTGTTTGCTTCTTTAATATAGGGACTTTATACATATATCATATTATTCTATAGCTCAGTTACATCAAAGCAGTATTGTACGATTTCTACCACAATCAGTTTCCAAACATTCTTTTCCTTCCTGGACTTCTTGACATGGGTTCCCTTTTATACACCTACCATCACCACCACTGAGTCCCACCGCTCCCCAACAGAAACCCTTATACTACTTGCTGTCCCTATATGTTCATCGATCTTAGTTTTCATATACCAAAAAACATGTAACACATAACACAAATTCAAGAGTGTAGCCCCCAGTGTCATAACACATCTGAGATAAACCCTAATGCGAACAAGCAAAACCAAAACAAAATTACAGAAAGTGTTGAAAACCAGTTCATGTCCTGCATGCATCATAGGGAGGGATCAACTGACAAGGTTTTAACTGTTAAAGTCAGGTTTATCCTTTTGTTCTTGAATAGCCATCTCTCTAATGCACTTTGTTTAGTAATCATTTTCCTCTTGTCCTTCTATCCATAATAGAGATCTCTGGAGGCTTATTTCCTAGGTAATTCCCAAAAATGTATCTTAGAGTTCAGCTGTAATCCACAGCCTTCTGCAAACCGGATTTTCATGATTTAGGCTCTGATACTATTCCCTCTTCAACTTCAGATTATTTAATTTACAATCCTTCAATGACTGATGGTGTGCTTTTTCCATGTGGCTTAGTTGACATCTCACTTAGATGACTGCTTGTTTGGAGACATGCCTTAACTATTTTATCTTATAGCTGAACACCACCTAATTTCTTCACCACATTCGACTATATCATCCATATCTTCTGTGTTCCTTTCCTGTGGGCGAGTATCGAGCAGGACCATGATGTAAGAATTTATCATTCAGGAAGACCTCAGAAGTAAACCAAGAGAAAGAAATCTATCAATCTAACAAAAAGAAGAAACTTTGGCTAAAATCCAGAAACTTATTGTAGAGGACAATAGAATTACTATTGATATGAAAGTTCCTGAAGTTGAGATCTCACATGGTTTGAGATGTTCAACTTCAAGTAAGTATTTTGGCCTCAGCAAGCTTCTGCCTGGATGGATGCCAAAAGCATTATGGGAAGATCAGCTAGATTAGAGAGCTGCTATTTTCATCATTCTTTTAAGGAAGATCAATGCTAATTAAGAAAAT